TGAATAATACTGGCCCCAGTACTGACCCTGGCTGGAGAGTAGTGAGTGCATTTCTTTTTCTGCAAATATATCTGGAAGAGTGCTCCAAATAACTTGAGTGTTGCAAAATAAAATCGCCAATTGCTAAAAGCCCAAGCATGAAATAATTCTAAATCATAATCACAGCTGTTTTTCTTCTTTTCAGTCCTGATGGCCAACCGACTCTTCTTCCTCCTGAGCATGTGCAAGAGTTAAATCTGAGGTCCACCGGCATGCTTAATGCCATCCAAAGATTTTTTGCATATCACATGATTGAGACATATGGCTGTGACTACTCTACAAGTGGACTGACCTTTGACACCCTGCACTCCAAGGTCAAGTCTTTTCTTGAGCTTCGGACAGCAGACGGACCCAGACACGATACCTACATTTTGTATTACAGTGGTCACTCGCATGGCACTGGTGAATGGGCACTGGCAGGTAACTGTTTTGGGGATTTTTTTATTAATAGTTTTGGTATTGATAAACTTTCCAAATCAATTCATTCTCTCTTTAAAAAAAATCATACTGTATTGCAAAACTTTGACATTTTGGTCACATTTATTGTCTGCTCTACAGCCACATTTCCCTTGAATTTTTAGGAATACTTGTTCCCTGTAATGAGCAAGCATAACCTCTTCTCATTCCTTGGATGTGGCAGAGCCAGCACACCTACTTCAGAGTGTTCTGTGTCACTGTGTCAGCTGGGCTGTCATGAAGGACTGCGTGCATGTCCTTAAGATGTGCTCTGTTGTTTGTGAAAGAGAGAATAAAAGAAATAGGAGGCAGGGATAGAGTCCACGCTAGAAAAGCAGGTCCTCAAGCATATAGCAAACCTTATGTCATGAAAACAGCTACAGTTTGCTGACACCCTAGAGTATGGGAGTCTTTGTGGTTGCAGTGTAGCCTGAAGACTATGAAACCCTGTATAAATGGCTGGTTTAATGCCTGGTCATATGTATGCTTGGCATAGACTTCACCATTTCCCCCTTTCCTGTTCTGGTTTTGATCTCCTTATAATGGGCAGTTCTGTCTCAGCTGTACAAAAATTGTTGGTGAACCTACTGAAGTTTTCAAATCGTTGGTAGGTTTAGCCTTGCTTTCCTGCTGTATGAAACTGGACTTCTGAGGTTACTGTGTGCAAAAAGTAAATCTTGTTGAAAATTTGCACCTTTTTTTCCTCCTGGGCAGATCTCACTGTCAGGGATAGTGCTGTGCCTGCCAGCTCCTGGCTGTTTGTCAGCAGCCTCTCTCTGGGGTATCTGCTCTTGAACAGTGCAGACAGATAAGAGCTTTGCCTGTGGTCCTGCTGAGCTTTTCAGACACAGGTCAGTTTTCATCCAGAGGCCTGCTGTGGGGCAACTCTACACCTTAACTGTTAGACCTGCTGAAAAGCAACGCATCTTTTTTCTCAAAGGCCTTATCTGTAATTTTAAAAAGCCACAGCTGTGCTCGGAGCATAGCACAAATGATGTAATGCAGTGTACACCAGAGCGGCTGAATGACTTCTCCGAGAGTAGGGTGGTCATGTCCAGAAGAGCACTTGCCACGCTGTGCAGTTGCCAGGTGTCTGCACACTGCGTGGAGCAGGCTAGCAGCTAAACTCTGCCTCCCACCCACACTCCAGCTGGCAGCATAGACATGGTTAGCTTACTAGTGTATGTAGAGCTAAATACGAACATGAGAGCTTCCAGCCTGTATACCTGTTGAGGTAGTTGTAGCCTAAATTAAACTGTCTTTACTTTTAGGATAAGGGCCAACGTAACAATCACAAGGGGTGTTCAACTTTCTCAAAGAGTTGCTTTCCAGTTCTCTACCCATCACAAGTTCACCTTCTGCTTGGAGATAATGTATAGTCACATAAAGAAGAGGAACAGGCAGCTGTGGCATGTCTTGCTTCCATTTTAGTGATTAATTTTAGATAAATCATGGCGTGGAATCTGATACTCTTTCCAGATAGCACAGCCCCTGAACGTAACTTGAAGTATAAACTGAAAAGATGCAGTTTGATTGTGTAATTGTACCACATGTATTGGACAGTGGCATTTTGTGACAGATGGAACATTTGGCTATCAGCTCCTGTAGTGTGTACCATCCTCTGACCTCTGCAGAGGATGAACAGACATGAAATGCAGCATTCAGATCTAATACAAACAGTAGTCTCACTGCTGGCTTATGCTGTGATGCAGCACAGCAGTAGCAGTGTAGTCCTTGTAATGACATCTTTAAAAGGAGTCTTACTGGATTTATTAGTCCGCTAATGATGTTTCTCTGTTGTTGGAAGCTGAGATGTAATGCAGTGCTGTATAGAAGAAACTGTTAGCGAGTCATGCATAAAGTATGAGCAGTCGAACGGCCTGGGAGGTCACATTCTCTGAGCAAAGGCAAAGGCAGGAGCTGAGCTAATGGAGCTTTGTCTCTGTGGCCGAAGCTGCCGAGGAGCCAGATGTGGCCAGGCCGTGATTTCACACACAGCTTGGTGCCTAAACCTTGCCCTGCTGCTATGTCCGTGTGTCTCGAGGTCAGCAGGGTTAGAAGCCGAGCGTGTGTTTGTGTGTGTGAATGATGAGGTGGTTTTCTTTGGGCAGTTCTGTCCAACGCTGTTTTGAAACCAACTGCACTCCTGCATAGTTACACTAAAATAAAGTTTATTCATAATCCTTTAAAACTTGAACAAATAAACACATTTTTACTGCTAATTGACACCGAAGGCTTACCTAGAAAAGGGAAACTGCTTCTATACAAGTCTCTGAAGTAAATAACTACAGCAGTTAGGGGATCATGTACCAAGTCAGTGCTGTAGATTTGTGTATTAGGATTTTCTTAAGCACAAAATTTTCCAGATTTGCTTTTTTTTTTTTTTTGAGGAAGCTGTAGCTGTGTAATTTTTACATTAACTGCAGTAGCGTGCTCAAAGCTTTAACTCTGAGCTATTAACTTGGGCACTTTTTTGTCACCCCTTACAGGTAGAAAGGTGAGTGCTGAAATATGCAGCTATTCTATTTGAGATTAATTTGTGCAGTTAAATTCCAACTAACAAGATCTTAAACACTGCTAAATGTACTTATAATCCACAATGAAAATCCCTATAGAATCAAAATGCAGTTATTGTAACACATTTTTCTACCTTTCTTTGAAAAGTCGCCTTTTTTAAAAAAAAAAAAAGTTGACATTTTCAAACTGGAATGTTTTTTTGTAAATCTGAATCGTAGCTCCAACCTGCCAATACCTAGACATGTCAGTTCTTCACATTAACAGTCACTGTGGGGCCAATGGAGATTTATTCACGTGTTTGCAAGGTGTTTTCCTTAGGCACTTAAGTAGTCTGCTTTTCAGAGCTGCACAGATCCTGCTGTATCCATTAGGCTTAAGCAGAAGAACTCCCCGCTATAGGTAACTTTTTTTAATTACAGTCTCCTTTTTCCAAGTATTGCTGGAGCAAGAGCTGAGATGGAACATGAGAGGTTGGACATTTTACTTGTAAGTTTCTGAGATTATAGGAAATAAATATTCTGGAAAAAGTCCTATGAAATTTCTGTTTGTTTTGAAGCCCTGAAGACAGCTGAGTCTCTAGAGTGAATCTCTCAATTTCTGGTCATGCGAATTTTTCAAGCCAAAGCAGTGATTGTGCCTGTAGGTGGCTTTCTCATTGTGCTTTGTATCTGTTAGCATGTGTTCTGTTCAAGATTCCCTTCTTTTCCTTAAAAGATGAGGCCTTTTTGAATATTAATACAAACATATTTAGAAAAAGAGTATCTTTTTTTTTCCTTTAAGATTATTAAGAATTTACTACAAAATAAACTCTATTATAGGTTTTCATCCCTTGTTTAGCTATTTCCAGATTTCAACAGGCTGTCATTTCTTTTACCCTGTAAGGGAATTCTTTTTTTTTTTTTTTTTTTTTTTTTTAATCAAGGGTGAGTTCAGGGCCTCATCTGCCACAGCAAGTCAGGTGAAATCATTTAATATCTCTCTGGAGATCTTCAGCATCTACACACAGGGAAAATCAGTTGAAAAACTTCTGATATCTCTGTCCAGGTTGTTAAAATAAGGGATTCTTGGAACATGCAGTCAAAATTCTACAGAGATTTATGTTTCTTCCTGCTAACCTTAAATATGTTTCCCTTGTGGCAGGAGGTGATGCTCTACGACTTGACACACTTCTGGAGTGGTGGAGAGAGAAGAATGGCACTTTCTGTTCTCGACTCATCATCGTTTTAGACTGCGAGAACTCTCAGCCTTGGGTTAAGGAAGTGAGGAAAGTGAATGACCAGTACGTGGCAGTGCAAGGAGCAGAAATGGCCAAGGTTGTAGACATCGAGGAAGCTGACCCTCCGCAGCTTGGGGACTTCACCAGGCAATGGGTCGAGTACAACTGTAACCCTGACAGTAACATCAGCTGGTCTGAAAAGGGCCGCACGGTGAAAGCGGTGTATGGGGTTTCAAAACACTGGAGCGACTACACTTTGCATTTGCCAACAGGAAGTGATGTTGCCAAGCACTGGATGATGTACTTCCCCCGTATCACCTACCCGTTAGTACATTTGGCAAACTGGTTTTGTGGTCTCAATCTGTTCTGGGTCTGTAAAGCGTGTTTCAGGTGCTTGAAAAGACTGAAAATGAGTTGGTTTCTTCCCACAGTGCTGGACACAGGACAGGGTTTCAAACTCGTCAAATCCTAATTAGCAACCAAAGAGAAAACAAAGCAAGAGCTCTGGGAACTTTCTCACTGTACTGTACTTACAACTTTTTATATCACGATTTTTCTCTGAAAAAGTCTGGTATGCTCACTTTATTCAGCTCTTTGAGCCGCTCAGTATATGCAAGAGATAGAAACTGCAGGCTAAAACAGAAGAGGGTAGGACTATGATACCAGAGTTTTGTTACTGGTCTGTATGTACGTATGTAAGAGACTTATATTTAATATGACCATGCATTTTGGAGACAGCTGCATGTTCATATGCGTTATCTAAAGCAGCCTTCATTCAGAGTAACCAGTTTGATGGACAACAGCTCCTGTGAATGTTATGGTGTGCTTATTTGTCATTTATATCCACTATAAGGTTTGAATACAGGAAAGGAACCAAGCTAATACTCAAATCAGTTTTTATGTCCTTGAAATAATATGGGTCAAGGGTATTATAAAACAGCACTGAGCCAAAAAAGTAAGAGAGGAGAGTGAATAGCCATTGTAGGTAAGTAGCTACCAAGAATCTTTAGAGTTTTTTTACATCTTCAGCCCCTGCCTCAGTTCTCTGCTGCCATCAGTGGGAATTTGCCACAGAAAACGAGACCAGACAACCTCTAATGCTCTGATGCTGCTCAGACATTGTTTTCTGAAACAGTTTCAAAAACTTCCAGTGTTACTTTCAAAATTCAGTATCTTGCTGGTGATATTTTTTTTTAAATATGCCCAGTGGTTAATTCATATATTGAATAAAAAGTGCACTGGGAGTTTTTCCCTTACCTGTTAACGGTGGTTCTGTTTTTTCCAGGCTTTCACTAGTTTGTATTTGAAAAGCTACCCTGAAAAACAAAACCAAAACCCAAGGAATTTAACCAAGAAAATAATCCATAGATTAAAAGTGGAAATACAAGTGTTGCCTTGGTTCCATGTTTATCTGAAGTCTTTGCTGTGCCTAAGACCTTGATTCTATAAAATGCTGAGCACAGGACTGGACCAATGAGTTCATTGTCTACTAAAACCACGAGCAAAGTTTGGCAGAAGAACAGATTATTCCCTGAGGGCAGGAGCGTGTCCTGAGTATTCCTCAACTCTGCTCTCCCAGCCACAAGGACCTGATCTTACTCCTTCCATTTACAGAGCTGGAGGGGACTCAGAAAATGCTGCCGTGAGTTTTCCTCTTCAGTCAGAGGACCTGCGTGACTTTCTGATCTTGTTTTCACAAGTGCAGAAAATAAGGGGTCAAACAACTGAGCAGCCAAGTCAGGACAGGTTGTGGGGTTTTTGCATATGTGTGTGCAATCCAGGAGACCTAGAGTTTAGTTTTTTCTGTTCCCATCAGTATTGTAATAAAAACATTAGGCATTAGCTGATATTTGTCTAAAATATAACTTATTTTATTTAAATAACTGAAAATACTTTAAGAACTCTTTTTAAAAAGTCTTTGCCATCAAGGGTTTTTCTAATTCTATTTGAACTTTTTAGCCAGCTAAGTTAGAGAATCTGTTAACACTGATACCTGTTAGTGACTCCTAAAACTAAAATGTGTGATTAAATTATGGGAGCTGAAATAGGCAGAGTAATTTGCACCCACTATCTTCAAAATGGTGATTTTGTAGGATTTACAAGTGACAGCCACTGAGGTTCTTCATTAGTGTGTATTACACAACTTTGTTTAGCAAGGCACCACCCGATCCCGCTTTGCCTTTCTCCATCCCCTTCTGTAAAGGGAAAGGGGGGTGAAGAAACGAGAGCTGAGATGAGATGGGACATCGTCCCACAGTTCAGCTCCACTGGGTCTCCTGTAGGTAAATGCTGCAATGGCAGCTCGGTCAGGGATTTGAGAGGTGGCAGCTCAGTCAGGACAGAGGGGAACCCTACATCTCACTTCAGGTGTCCAACTTCAGTTCCTAACGCGGGAGCCTGAGGAGGGAGTCATCTCGTTTAGATGAAAGGTTGATGTCTGAGTCCATGCTAGCGACATGAAGTGCTCCACTGCTCAATAACAAAGAGGAATAAATATTTCTAAAGGAACACTCATATGATCTCTATTTTAGGATGAATTTTCCTGTGATTGTGCCTATTAGATTTGTTTTGGTTTTGCTTTCATATGCCAAAGTTCAAGCAGACAAATCCCTCACGTCTGTTTAATAACCTTAGGGCACTTTTGTTCCAAGTCATCCTCTGGAGCCTGGGCTGGGTACATCAGCTCCTCGTTCAAGCCCATAAATTGGGTACTTGAAGTTAGGCTGAACGAGCCTCTGTCAGGTTTCAGCAAAGCAGCACTGCTGCCTCTGCAGAAGTCATTTTCAGCCATTTCTGGCCAACAGCCCTTGAGTATGGAAAAAAAACGGCTGCGTAAAGGCAATCATTTGGTTTATAAAATCACCATTATTTTGATGGCTATTTCAGTAAAAGTTCATCTGATTGCATCACAAACTGTTCCAACCTGAGCACGAGAAATTTTTCACCAAGTCACTGTAATGCCCAGTAGTCACCCTGTGAACTTTTGAAAGTCAGGAAGCTAGTCCTTTTTGGTTTGGAAAAGCTTTGAACACCAACCATGGCACCTCTTGCTAATTACAATGGGTAAATCTTCCTCCATACCTCCTGCTGTTACGTTTTTATGAACATCATCTGCGTCTTTCTTTTTGTACATCAAGGGGAACAGGAGAAGTTTGGGACTCCTGACCTGTCCTGGGACTGTGAGCGGTGTCTGCTCTGCAGTGCAGTGATGGGCCTGGCTTTGGGCAGAACAAACCCAGCTGCTGGTGCTGATCTTCTGCCTCTGTTTACTGAATGGTTTCCAGCTTATTTATCAAACTGTTAGATTTACTCTAGGATAGACGGGGTGATCTTTAGCAGTTTGCTGTAAGTTCGACAGAGTGTCAGCTAAAAATAGAGCAAAAAGGTTATTTACAAAATTAATCGTGTGTTCGCAGATTTGCTTCAGTTTTCTGAATTTGAAATAGTTTTAACATGAGCTAAGGTATTTCTACTTTATCTTTTTCTTTTAACAGCAAAGTCATGGTGAAAATGCTGGTTTAAACTAAAAGCAATGTTTACAGCCATTCAAAACTGTGAGGCTTTTTTGGTCAAAGAGACTGTCTTGTGTGTTTGAAATCACGCCAAAACGCAGGGGGTGAGACGATGAGCCTCAGGAGTTCAGCAGTGTTCATTCCCTGTGTCTCCATCAGCCCACACCAGGACGTCCCGCCCTGACCCCCGTTCCCAGGCGGAGCTGGAGATCTCCGGCTCCTGGCACTCACCCACCTCTCCGCTCTCTGCCCAGCCAGGACCAGCGCACCAGGAGCTCCAAATAATATGTCATAATAACAATAGCCAGTGGGGAGCGAGGGGTTGCCCCTTTGCTGGTCCCTGTGGCACACAGGGGCAACACCTGAAAGAGAAATGGGAATCTGATTCCAAAGAATGTCACCTATCGGTACATACACGGTGTTTTTTTCTTTCGGGGTGACATGCTTACAAATAATTGTCTTGGCGGAGAAAATCTAAACTGGTTTATAGAGGCTTATCTCTGTACTGTATATTCAGACCTCTTGGTTGTTACAAATTTATATCACAGCAGTAATTTTATGTTGACTTGGCTTCATTTACCTCCTGTGTAGTATCAGCCTTGCAGAAACATGCAAATGCACTAAAAGTCCTACAAATTTACACCTTTAAAAGGAATTCGAATTGCAAATCCATAGTAGTAGTTTTCTCTGAACAAGTACTGGGGGAAAAAGCCATTGTTTCATATTTGCACTACCGAGAGTTACACATTTGCAGTTCCTTGTGCTTTGTATGCCTTCTGAGAGTTACTGTCCAGCCTTCGGTTCAAGCTTTTCCCAGAAACACTTTCTTCACCTTTATTAAGTTTTCCCTTTATTTTGCAAAGGCAAATGGATGCTGTGCTTGCTGTAAAGCACCTGTTGCCAGCAGTAGGCAGCGCAACTGGGTTAACATTCTTGTTTATAAATACTTCTTTGTGGGAGGATTTTTACTGGACATACCCATTTCAGATCTGTAAATAGATTTTTTTTGTGTATTTGTGATAATGCCTAAATACATTTTGCTGTTTTGGATGCTCATTTCCATTTCATGCTTTTGTTTATCCCTTGATCACTTCCAAAATTTCTGTGCTCCCTCTTGAAATAGATGGGTTTTTTACAGAAAATGGGTTTTGGGGGGGGAGGTTTTGTAAATTTTTTGGCGACCTAGGAAATAAAAGTCAGTGTAAACAGCTATATGAATGTTACAATAATGGTTCGTCTTAGCTGCTGTTATATATTAGTGCTGGAAAAGAAGTGTAACCTAAGCACGCCTAGTGAAGAGATTATTTATAGTATTACTGTGGTATAAGGAGTTATTTTTAAAAAAGCTTTTCAAATTCAGTTCTCTGAAAATTGTCAGTTCTGAAAAGCTTTCTGTTGTTGAAATAATGCAGTTGTCGGGAAGGAAGATGTAACAGACTCATGGAAAATACAGTATTTGGTTACACTTGACTAGTATGCAGGATGAGATACAGTAATGTTTTGGAAGGAAAATAAAGAATTCCAGTATTTGTTTAAAACTATTTTTTAAAAAAGTCCACTTACTTTGTGGCTTAAAAACAAATCAAGCACATTGATGTGGAGCAAGGAGCGTGGAAAGGCTTTGGTCAGTGTTACCTGCTGCTCCAGCACTGAGCTCTGTCAGGCTCTGTCAGCTCTTGAGTGTGTTGCCCACTACCACTGTGCAGTAAAATACAGATACGCTACTCCCAGTGTGTTACACTGCAGCCTGGAAAGCTGGATCCAGGAAATACTCTCAGTGTTACAGAGCTCACCGGTGGAGATTCAGGCCCAGAAGGAGTACAGGGTCCTGGCACAGCCAGATGCACACCTCAGACATCTGAAGGGGCAGTCACCTTGCAAGGCAGCAGTCGGGCTCTCGGGATGCTGAGTAGGAGACTTCGCAACAAGTGCCTGTAACATCCAACTGCTTACAACTAATGACACAGAAATGTAAACTTGGCTCCTCATCAGCACTGAATTATTTTCTCTATATAATAATATCCATTTAGGCACTTCAGGGTGTATTGAAACATTCGGGACCCTTACCTCAGCTACCGCTCTGCATGGAGCTGGGGAGCTTCCAGCGCTCAGTCACGCCAGTGCTGAAGCTGATGGAGAGATGCAGGCAGCTCTGTTGGTTACAGACAGTCCCGTAGTTAATAGCTGCTAAAATAAATCAGTGTAACC